GGAAGGACACAGCCGATGTGCTAGCTTTTAATCTTGGAAATCTTTAGGACGTTTGACGACGGCCAAAGGGAAACTCTCTCTCGTCGGTCGGTCGGTTTCCCTCTTCCCAGACTTCTCGAACCTCCCCCTCCGATAATTCCTCTCCCTGTCTCTCGCTCACCCTCTCTTTCTCTCTTGCCCTCTCTCTCTCTCTCTCTCTCTCTTTGGCCGGCTACTTACGCAAACATCGTTCGTAGATTTCTAGGCAGGAGCAAAGAAAGTATCCCGGCGAGCTCCTCGAGTTTACGGTCGAATTAAGGATTTACGCGGGGTAATTCAACGGGGTTTGGGGCAAATCTTGCGCGAGTGTCGGATGAAAGGGGAGAGGAATAGCGAACGAGAATAGGGAAGAAGAAGAGGAGAGGAGAGTGGCTCTCTTGCGTCAGGAGCAATTATCGAAGTCGGTGGTCAGTTTCTCCGTTTATAAAATTTTTCGGGACGCCAAAGTTCGCGACACGGTTCGTTAAATGGAACGATTATGAAAATTTCCATTCGGTCTACGAAGTTGGCGCGGGCTCGTTCGAATCGTTCGATTCGACAATCGGTTTATTTTCTATTAAACTAAAAACTCGGGTTTCCCTTTGGAACAGTCCACGTTGATTATAAACTAATTATAAAGATCTGATAAATTGGTGGAGGAAAGTTTCACGATTCTGTAAATTCTGTTAGTACTGTTAAATGTTTTTCTAAGATGCGAATAATAATATCAAGATTAAAATAAGTCGTGTAATCGTATCTTTGGTTAGGAGATAAGATAAATTTATTTTTATTTATATCTCTAGATATATATTGTTTTCGGCTTTTTCTAAATATCCTACGTAGAAATACACTGATATAAAGTTTCTTATATAAAGATAAAAATCGTTCGATTGCATGCATATTATAAATATTTATTCGAAAAGATAACATTGGAAAGCTTGAATGATATTGAATTTTCTCATCGTTAGATGAGATGACGATTAAAAAAAAAAAAAAACTACTAATCAAAGAGGGAAATGAAAAACCTTGTTCCCCGAAGTTAAACGCGAATAAATTTCATTACATCTTATGTATAGAACCCGTTACACGTCAAATGTGCGTGCAAATTAGATCAATGGATCAGTTTGAGAAGCTCGTCGAAATTAATATCCGTTCTGTTAGTTACCAGAGAGACACGATACCGGCGGCTTACGATTCATGATCCGTATCGTGGCGTACAGTCGCAGCCACAAGTGCGGATTAAATTAACGTACACTGGTTGGATAACGGAGAGCCGTGACCTGCGGTTTTGCGATCCAGTTCCAATTTTTCCTCGATTAAGAAAAAGTAGACGTGCCGCGAATCGCCAATTTTCCGCTTAGAAAACGCTCGTGTGGAGCGCTCGTAATTAAAAAAAAAAAAAACGAGGTTACGGTTTAAAAATAACTCCCCCTACGTGTAAATTAAACGCGTTTCTGGCCGAACGAAAATTCTCGATACTCGTTGCGTCGCTTTTTGTAAAATTTCGCCGATCGATCGGCAACACAGGCAAAGTATCGAAGCATTCGAAAAATAAAATTCGTCAAACGAATTTCCAAAATATATTCGCGAAGGTATATATACGAGATATACGTTGTGAACTGTTGACCGTTACGACGCGTTATCATTATCGATTCGTCTGCGAAAATCGGCACGTAACGCTCCCCTTATCCCCTATCTCGCGTTACAATAACTCGTGTTCAGCAATACGTTTCCACGGTATTTACGGTATCTTCGGTTACGGTTTACCAGCACGCAGCACGTGTAACGTCATACTTCGAACGCAGGTACCTTTCGTACCACTGATTAGACCAGAAGCGTAAGTATACACACGCAGCAAGTATATACGAGCCGCGAATCGAGCGAGAATTCATCGTTGCGAGGAATGAACCTGACGTCCATTTCCTGCCTGTGTGCACCGATAATGAAACAAACCCTCCCGCGCGAGAAACAACCGTCGGCGATAAACCAGGCAGCGTGGAATCAACACGGAACAAATGGGGAACAAATGGGGGGGGAGGGGAGGGGAGGGAGAGAATTTTCGTTTCGCCGGCCGTGCAAACTCGCACGCGAGAGAAGGGTGAAGAGGGACCAGAAACTCGACGAGGTTTTTCACCATCCCTCCCTCCTCAACCCCGACATCAGCAATTTCCCGTGGAACGAGATGAAAAAATGGCGCGCGAATTCGCATAACAAGGCAGACAACCGCGCAATTAAAATTACGTTCGCGCGACCAAAGAAAGCGAAACGCAGCGAAAAAAAAAGGGGGGGGGGAAAGAAGAGAAAAAACAGCGAAACGAGAATTTCGTGTCCCATCCTTCCCCCCCCTTTTACGGTCACTTGGGAGCGCGCGTTGAAAAATTTCTTCTTTGCGGAAACCACCTTCGTCCGCCGCTCCTCCTCGCCGCGCGAGAACGTGTAACGCGCCACCCCTCCGCCTTTTTTTTCCCCGTCGAAACGCACACACACACACCCCTCCAAACCACGCATTTTCCAAACACGAGCTGTGCGTATATACGCACAAAGAGTAAGAGGAAGAGAGAGAGAGAGAGAGAAGAAGAAGAGCGGATTGGTGTTGGTCGGTTCTCGACTGGCAGAGAGGCAGCCAAGCAACCAGCCAGCCAGCCAGCCAGCCAGCCAGCCAGCCGGCTGGCCGACCAACCAACCATTCCACATTCCATTCGACGGTTCTCTCTTTCCCTCCCCGGTACGTAATGAAGTCAGTCCCGGCGTTCTAAGCCCCGGTAATATCGTGTGGCAGGGCCCTCCCCGAGATAATATTAGTGATGTATGCTAACGGGCTTTTCGGTACCGGGCTACGTCGTTTTTACGTCCCTTTCGTACCTCGGTGTCCTCCTAAATGATTTACCGCGAAAAAGAGAGCGTACGAAGGTCGCTCGGTCACTATCTCTCTACCCTCCCCTCTTCTCTTCCCACCCCCTTCCGGTTAGAAGAAAAAACTTCGTTCGCCTTTTTTAATCCCCCGTTCCGTGCACCCCGTGTGTACGATGGTGGCGAAAACTGTTCCCTTTCTTTCTCCTCCCTTTTTTATCCCTTTTTTCGCGCGCGAGAATTCCATGAGTAAACCACTAGCTGCGGGGACTTCGTTAACCTTCAGCCACCAAGGGTGTCTGCGAGGTGGCCTTTTACAGGCGAGGGCCAACCGGACTCCTGGACGAGGAATGTTTGAAAGTTGGCGATTTATATACGGGTTGCGGGCCATATTGTTCCGCTGGGGGGAGGGGGAGGGTATTTAGAACGGCCGACAGAGGCGAAACTCGTAATATTAATTAATGAAAGGGGTACTTACGCGGCATTTACGACACATTGTTCCACGGGGAGATTTCCTGCGACGCCGGGGCGAAATCGTCGTCCCACGGTAATTAATGAAAAGTGCGGCGTTTATGAATCGGATTTCGTTAGTTGCGAAATTAACGGCTCGCCGCCGTTAATTCTTCGACGCTATGTTTTCTCGCGTTGACAATTTTTCGACAGTAAGAGGGGAGGAAATCTTCGCCATCGAGATTCGTACACGGAATTGTGGCCGTGTGGATTTAAAGGGAGGAATCGAGAAACTTGTGTACCTTGCTGATGAATTCTGAACACGAGTCGGTAAACAGTGATGCTCTCGAACTGAAACTTTAACTCTACTTTCTGTAGAGTCAAGGGATTTTTCCAACTTGGTGGAAAAATTACGAGTATTACGTTTCACGTTGGCGTCAAATACTACGTCGCTACGATTTTTATTATTGTACGCCTCGGTTGTTCCTCAAATTCGATTTTTCGTGTGTTTGCGAGGTTCCGTTTTCAAGAATCTACTTCTTCGAGGGTTGTTTAATGCGATTTAACACGTTCGATGAAGTCATAGGAAATCACGTACACAACCGGTGAAGAAAGTTTCCGTCACGTGCCGATAAATTCGTTAAAACAAAGATTTGGAATTTCTAAGACAATTGTTGGCTACGAGTTAAACATTCTTTCGAATCGATAAAAGGACTTTTTCCATTTAACCTTACCACGAATTGATTATTTCAGATTGAATTACGCGAGTTTCACGTCTGTTTAGATACTTGAAATACGTGCTTCGAAATACGCCCCGATTGAATTTCACTTAGAAAATTAAAATTTTAAATCAACTGTTAGAGGGGAATTTAATTTTTTGCATAGTTAATTATACGATCTATATACTCCTTTTTATTATTATGATAGTAACCTTATTTTTAATCTTACTGTACAATCCGTTGCGTTAGATTGTTGCATAATAAATGGCCTTTTCGAGACCTTGTTTCAATCATTATCAATCATAAAATACACTCAACGATTCTCTTTATAACTTTGATAATATTTCTTTGTGCAACTACTTTTACTTACTTTCTTAACTTGCAAAAATGCAAATGCCAAACCATTTTTCTTTATGAATAAACTTGAAGTAACAGAATTAGTAAAACGCTAGAAATAACAGAATAAATAAAACGAAATGCATCTTTACACGATTGAAATAAAAGAAATTTATATAAGATAGGAAGCGAAGATGCGTCATCTTATTTAAATTTTAATACTTAATTACACTTAATAATAAATGTCTTTTATTAATACAATCATCTAATAAATCAATTGTATATACGATATTGTAATACGTAATATTTAAAACTAAAAACGATAAACATAAGAAACGAATTCTAAGAAATTCTCCTCCTAAATATCTCGCTACGCACGTGGCGAAAATTCTCAGAACTTTATGTACAAAAACGCTAAGCCTCGCAATAATATTATTCTCGCGAAACAGTTCAATATATATTCGTTGAACTTATCGTCGTTCGAATCGCAATGTACGTTTTATCCGTGTAAACATAGGATCATTTCTTCGAAAATAACTTAACCGTTATCTGAGCTAACACGAATCCTATCTCTATCTACACGTGGCCGATAAAATGGTATGAAAAACCATCATGGAGGATTCCTACCTTTATGATGCCTGAGGTGAGAGCGTCCGCAGCAAGGTTGCTCGTAGTACGCGTGGCCGGGATGCGCACCGGCAGGCCGACTTGCATGGCTCGATCCCAGGAACAGACCCAAGACAGCTGCTAGAACAGCTGCTCTGACCAGCACCAACATGGCATCCGGTAATCTTCGTCGTTCCATCCTCGGACACGATTCACGGTAAAGGGCACACGCAAACTCGGCACGGATCGAACGAGCTAACGCTAATCAACCAGAAACATTACAGCAAAACGCGCACGTGTATCGGTTGAAAATTCTCGTGGGTCGCGGGAGAGAAGCAAACAAGGTCAATGTCGATTGAAAATGTACGATTCGACCTGGCCTTGGCTAACAGCACGCCATACTCTGTGTTCACGGTGTGGTTGTTGCCCTTTGCCGTTGGCAACGCGCTGACGTTCACCGATGCTACGAGTCTCGTTTTCGCTATCCGTCTCACTCTTACGCACGCCAGATATAACACGTCCGACAAGGTAGAATCTCGACCGCGTGCTGTGTTTCCTTCTCTCTCTCTCTCTCTCTCTCTCTCTCTCTCTTTCTCTTTCAACCACACGGTCGTTTCGTTCGCCGGTTCTCGTCCACTAGCTTCACCACTCTGCCTTTCGAGGACAAAGGAATTCTTCCTGTGCTTCTCTTTTCTTCAAAGAAAAAAAAAAGGCGCTCGTGTCCTTATAGTCCTCCCAGTCGCAGGTAGAGGGCCTTGAGATAGGCTCGTTCGGTAAGCGCCGGATATGGCTAACAATGTCGTTAAATATAATTGCACGATCCTTCACTTTCGCCTTTTTATATTTTCTGTTTTTTCCTCTTCACTTTTGTGACATATACGAGCGAGATCGCGTCATAAAGGAACGAATAAAGGTCGCGAATGAAAACGGAACACAACTGAATCGACGTTCAAGGCTTTTATCTATGGCAAACGTTTAAAAATTCAAATCCCTCTATGTCACTGACGTCCATGATACACTTTCGTTCCCGCCATATTACGTCATCGTTGGAATATACAATCGTGGCGATCGTTGAACCGACAAGAATATAAGAACGAAATACATGTACGTGAGTTACGAAGAAATAACCGAGGAAATCGTGGGCAACTAAATATAAAGAGCACGTCTCGCGACGTCACATCTGTTGCTCGGCCCACGATCGAGTTGCGAGATTTTACTCCACATTCAAGGCAATTTTTCGTTAATCCCGTGACATCACGATTGTCTGAGCAAGTATCACAACATTGTTTCGTATTCCACCGTTGAGACAAGACAGAACACGCGGTTCACAACTTTCTTGAAACGGAGCGTCACGAACAACACGAACTGTATAAACCTCCCCCTCTGGAGGCCGCGGCACGACTGTACTCTCGTATACGAGTTGCCGCGTTCACAGGCGTCGGCAGCGCTCGGCAAACTTCGGCAATGTTCGGCTGCTCGTGCTCCGCGACTCTATGATCCACGCCAGTTTCTTCCAATCGGAGTCACTCATCGTTTACTGGTTTGAACGAATGTCCGAAGAAGCGTCACCCCTGATATTTCTCTTAACCCTCACCCTAGGGGTTCTTTTTATAGCTCATATGAAAAATTTTCTACGTGGAGTCAATATGGACAATGAAACGCCTGTTCAGAGTTGGATTCTTTTGGAGTAGGGACTTTCACCGTCAAAAATTTGAATTACGAAGTGTTTCCTAATTGCCTTGGTTATCTACCTTTTGTTGCGAATTTTCTCTGAGTTAAAGATTCCGAATCCTTGACATTCGTATTTTTAATTTTTTCTTTTTTTTTATATTCGAATAATTTGTTCAAACGCTGAAAGTATCGGACATTTGCTTACGATTAATGGTCGGTATGTAAAGACGATTGTAATCTATCGATCGTATTTAATAGTATAACATGACGCAAACGCTATTATAAAGTTATTTTTATTTCTATGAAATTTAAATACTTATACAACTTTCACTATAACAACGAAATTTATTCCTGCTATTTCTAAAGTACCTTAAAGTTTAAAGTTTAGACTGTTGACATACAATTGGAAATCACCTTATAGATAAACGAAAACTTCTAGCGAGTAAAGTTTTAGGAGAATAATTAAAACTCGCTTAATTATTGACAGCATTACAATTAAATATCTAAAATATATACAAGTATATTCTTAGACATAGTAGTTTCCTAAAGTTAAATAAAATGTTGGTAACTTTAAGATTCCAGTTAAATAGGACCTTTTCGTGTACAATAAATTAACAGTTGGTGTATTTCTTCGAATCGATTTCACTATGATTTAGAATCATCTTATGCCTACTATTATTCAAATATCCTAAAGAAAGACAAAATATATATAATCCTAAATTGATTGAATATTAAATAAAGAAGAAGAAGAAGAAGAAGAAGAAGAAAAGAGAATATTTTAATTTCACTGTATAATATATTTCGTTGGTAGCAAGTGAAAAGCATTAAGAATGATACAAATAAATTCATGTAGATTTCATTATTTTTCTTTATTTATCAAGTAATGAAATTTTGAAAGTGGAGCATAGACTGTGTAAAAGCAAGAAGAGATAATCTTGATGGCAACAAAGGAAAAGGTTTTGAATAATGCTGCTTTGTGGTTTTCTTGGAATTCTTCTTTATTACGTCCATTTAAATTTCTCTAAGAAGAAAAATCTTTTGACAAGCTTATTTAAAACACTAGAGGTCAATTTTTCTAATTAACACAGTAAACTTTATAAAAATTACTAAAATCAGAATACTTTTTCTACAACTCAAAATAAGACGAAAATCAAGAATAATGGAATTAAATAACAAAATCGTATTTCCGATAAAGTATATTTAAACTCCACTCTTTTTTAAACAATATCTTAATTATCTATGATTGTCATACAATCTAAAATAACATTTCAACCTATGGATCGCAAATATTAAATCACGATAAATTTTTAATGTATCGAGCAAAGACAATCGAATCACCGGAAATATATCTTGCTCATACATACATAATTTCATTCCTTGATATGATATTACACAATAATAAAGCCAAGTTTTTCTATTCATCGTAACAATTGAAATAAAATAAATACATATGCAAACGTATATCAGGATGAAAACTCGAATAACGCTTTGTTTTACGTACAGAAAAAAAAAATATCTGACTCTTTGAATCAAAAATCAAAATCCTTTTGCCTCGCCCATACCACGAGCTACTGCATTGAAAAGCTTACGATCGGGGCCGGTACTCGGAGGATAGCACTCAGAGTTTAACGAAATCAATGTATCGAAACACGTCGTAACGTATTCCCTGGAGGGTCGACGACGAAACTCAAAGCCCTTGAAAAAGCTTGGTACGACGGCGTCATCATCGACGGCCCCGTATATAGCCCGGAGGAGATCTCGGATTGGTGCTCGCGCGCGTGTGTTCATCCGTCACGAACGAAGAAGTAGCGGATTGTATGAATAAGTCGATATGCTAATGTAAAAACCCTCGAAGTTAGCTGAGCCAAGGCTGAGGGGGAAAGGAAAGAAAGTTGCAAGGCATACATCCGGCCCGCTTCACTACGTGCAAAAGCGTAGCCCGCCCAAGCCAAGCGCGAAAGAGGAGACAATTTCGTATCGTCCACCACGGTGCCGCCATTACCGTCATACTCGATACAAGGACTCCCTTTGTTGTTTTCACGGAGGAGAAGAGACCTGGCCAGACGCAAGGGAAGTCGTAAGAATTTTAGAACAAAGGAAGAGAACTCCTTGCCTTTTCTTAATTCATCTCCCTTCCCTCTCTTGCCTTTTCTAGCCACGAACGAGGACCACGAACGAGGACCAACAAATCTGCCCATCCCGTTTCATTGAAATAGTTTAGAATTGCATGAGCCACCCCCCTGTGTCGTTTCTTACCAACGGATGTGTACCAACCCTTGTGTACGTGGCCTCTAAGCGCGAACCTTTTCGAAAGAACCGGCAAATCGTTGGAAAAAGCATAAATTGTTCGTATACACGCGAATTGGTTAGCATCTGAGATATAAATCCGTCGGCATACGACACAACCAGAATCTTGGAAAAATCGTAAGTAGAATGGTAAGAAATCGTATTCAGGAAGAAATGAAAAATTTGTTCGTAAATCTTTCAGATCAAACGCAAGAGTTTTCGAAATTTTTATTCCAAGTTACATTTTTAAACATTCCTTAATTTATTATATATCATCAATCATAACATCTTTCCCTTCTTTTAATAAATTTATATAAATTTATTTTATTCATATTCCACGTATACAAAATGATATTTACAAATTTGTTTTAAATATTTTAAATACCAATGAAATTCATTATGCAAAAGTTCGTTCCGATTTTTTTCAACGAGGTTACAAATAAAATGACGAGCATTGTGTACATGAAACGGAATGTTGAAGAACACGTGTATGTATAATAGGTCTTGTCAAGTTTACATGAGTGGCATATCCGAGATGAAAGGCATTCTAACTTGGGAACTTCTTAGAAATGGTGGAATAAGAAAGAAGGCATTATTATGTCGGCTGTTTCGCGGCATTCATTGCTGGACAGTGTTTCGTGATCGTCTGACGGGGGAGAGGCCTTCGTGAATTTCCTGGCGCCTGGTTAAATTTCACCAAGTTCCCATAGAAGTTCTGACTTATGGAACGGTCTGAATGGACCTCCGTGCAAGCCAGAAACACGCGATACGCGGGGAATGAGGAGCTGATAAGTTTCGGTAAAGTTAAGTTACCGTTTAATGTTTCGTGTTTGATTTATAGACGTGTGAAATCCAGTTAATAGGATTTCGTCCCTATGACCGAGGGACGACGTTTCATCCTTTATATGTACGAGTGTGGGAGTTATATTTACCTTTATGCCAATAGCCAAAGTTTTCGATGTTATTCAACTCGTGACTTCGCTAATTTTCCGCCGATACGAAATCTCTAAATTTGGAATTTGGATCGATAGGAAATATATCAAATGACGATGATTTTGGTTGGATTTGAGAATAATTTGAGAAGGGAAATATTTTGTGAATTTTTAATTTTACGAAAAGATATTTTGGTATGTGGATTTATTATAGAAGAATTTAATTATTAATTAAATTTCATATTTTGTATTTTCGAATGTTAAATATTCTGATTATTTTAACGATTTTATTATAATTTTTGTGAAACATCAATACGCGAAGATCGACATGTTGATTTATGTATTAAATTTCCTTTATTTTTATCCAATTTTATATCTGAAAGCAGATTATACGCAGTGAGCACAATAGATGATATTAATACAAATTCAAACGGACAAAATTTCGCGCGTACCAGTAATACGAAGACCTGCGACACAAACTAGAAAACACGAAATTGTGTGAAAAACTTTCATAATAATCCATACAACAAAGCAAACATATACGCACACGAAATTATACACGCAGAGACGTCGAATGAAAATTATTTCTTGCTTCGTAGGAAATATGCGAAAAAACCAATATGCAAAGTTAAACAAATTTCCATTGGAAAAAAAAAAAAA